CGCATCACTTGTTCAATAGAATATTACAGAAATAGATGTATTAAAATACAACATACTTCAGTAGTAAATGTATTCGTAAAATTCAATTAATGTTAGTTGAAGGTCAAAGAGGTAAGAAATTTAGCGATAAAAAGTTGGAACTGGAATAAGATTAAAAAATAGAATGAATAATAAAGAAGTACAGGAAGTAAGTGATGTTAATTTTTCTCGTAACAAAAACAATATGTGATATATTAAAACAAGTAATAATAAAATATGAAATGAAAAAATTTTAATTCATTCTTTAATTTGAATTTATAATAATTAGGAGAAATTTGAAGTAAGAAGAATGCCGAAGGAATTCGCCAGTATTATCTTTGTGATAAATGAATTTCACGACGAATCGGATATCATCAGATATCATCAATTGCTCCTTATAAGGTATTATTTGGTATTATTTGATTTGAGAATACGGTACTGTAAAATATATTACTGTACGAATAATAATAGTTAAGATAATGTTTCATTCAAGTCGATTTAAGTAATTCTTTTAATTTAAATTATAAATATTTTATTATTATTTCTATGCTATTCTTCAACATCAATTTTTCCTTTATTATAGTTATCTTTATCATTTCCTCTTTTAACTTCAATATATAAATGTTGAATATTTTATTTATATCATAAATGATATTGTCTATGATAAAATACCATTCATACAATATCATTATTAGAAGTGAAATTTTGTTATCGATTATTTTGCAGTTTCATATTTCAAATCAAACTGATCACAAGCATTTTTTCCTTTGCATAATAAAAGTGTTTTGTAATTAAAAAATGAATCAAATTTATATTAAACATAGAATTATAGGATTATCATATCATTTGAAACTATCAGTTATCATACTTTCACTGATTATATTTCGTGATACATATTTATCGAGTATTGATTCTACATTTGGTGCTATTTTGAATGCCATGTTTCGTGTGAAAATGATGATGAAAAAATTCCAATAATTTTCTGGAAATTTTAAAATTAAAAATTCATTGCAATTNATATTTCGTGATACATATTTATCGAGTATTGATTCTACATTTGGTGCTATTTTGAATGCCATGTTTCGTGTGAAAATGATGATGAAAAAATTCCAATAATTTTCTGGAAATTTTAAAATTAAAAATTCATTGCAATTTAACAATCAATAACTCCAAACAAAATCAATTAAGTATTTTCTATCTACGATACTTATACAACAAAATCAATTAAATATATTCTATCTACGATACTTATACAACAAAATCAATTAAATATACTCTATCTACGATACTTATACAACAAAATCAATTGAATATTTTCTATCTACGATACTTATACAACAAAATCAATTAAATATTTTCTATCTACGATACTTGTACAACAAAATCAATTAAATATACCCTATCTACGATACTTATGCAACAAAATCAATTAAATATACCCTGTCTACCAAAACTTAATCCATTTATCGTCTAAACTACCATTGAATGAGTTAATCACAACATCGTTGTAAATGCAATCAGAAATAAGTAGTATTCTGAAAAAGAAATATAAAAAACGGTACACAATACTCCAAATTACGAAAAGCTATTACATCATTTATTAAATGGTGAAATTGTATTAATTAATCAAAGAAAATAACATAAGTAACTTTTAATTAACAAAACTGTTAAATATATAAGTAGAAAATTTATGGAACGTTAAAGATTTTTAGGATAGTTTTTTTTTTTCATTATCTTATGCAAGTGCTAAAGAATAGCAAAATCGATTTTTCATTTCTAATTTTAAAAGATATCTATCTGCCTTAGTTTCATTTTTCTTTCAAATAATTTTGTTGATGAATTAGTGAAAATAAAGAACAAAATAGAAGTGAGCAAAAATTAAACATTACAGGAAAAGAAAAATTCATAAAACTACCGACAAGCGAAAGTTCATATCGATGTAAATTTCTGGAAAATTTTCGTCTAATCTGAAATATGAAAATTTGAAATTCAAACGTTAGGATTAGACATATGTGCAGATTACGAGGATATGTGCGGAAACGCATTTTTTTTTCCATTGACCTTTCTACTTGTAGGGTCACAATTTAAAGAGTTGCGAAATTTCTAAGTTATCAGAATATCGAAATATAGCCATAATTTTGTTAAGTTTTCATACTGGAAGTGTAGATAAAGTTAAGCAAGACTTTAAAACTGATAATTAGGAATTTTGGATAAAATCAAAATAAGCCATTTCTAATAATATTATTTCCAGCCGCTATATTGTTAAACAAAATTAAACAAAACAATTTGTTTGAAGCGCAACTTAAATCATCGTATCATTAATATTTATTATTTCATAATAATTTTAAAATTGAAAAAATTGAAAACTCTTCTTCGTTATTTACTTTTCTGACAAAAAAACGTTGCTGTAAAAATGATAACAATAAACAATTTTAATTTTATTGAACGAATTATTTCATAATTTCCTGCTTAACGAATCGGATCGGATCAGGTTTAAAGTTGAATTAAATGTGGGTTAAATTAAATGCGATCGGATCAGATCTAAAATTTGAATTAAGTACAAAATATAAGCAACTAATGTTTTTTTCACTTTCTTCTCTGTCAATTTAATTCAACAAATGTTGCTGCAAAAATTATAACAATAACAAATTTTGATTTTATTAAACGAATAATTTCATAATTTCCTATTTAAAGAATCGGATCAGATCAGGTTTAAATTTAAACTAAGTGTGGGTATTTCCTTTTTAAAGAATCGGATCGGATCAGATTTAAATTTGAACTAAGTGCGGTTTAAATTAAATGCGATCAGATCAGGTTTAAATTTGAATTAAATACAAAATATAAGCAACTAATGTTTTTTTCACTTTCTTCTCTGTCAATTCAATTTATTCTTGTTGATAAATTGTGATAATTATTTTTTATCATATCAAACAAGTAAAAGAATTTACCCAAAATTTTTTCAACTTTCCCATTAAAATTTAAAACAATTTTTCAATTTGTTTTTTTGCAATTAAAAAAATACAGCAATTTTTTTTTATTTAATATTTCTAAAAATACTTTCAATACTTTAGCAATTAACATTTCTATAAATTAAATAAACAAAACTTCCTTCACCTATGTTTAGTGATTTTGATGAGTCAAGTAAATAGTACCATTACTGTCAAACTAAAATTTCAAATGGTAATTTTGATATTTTCAGGAAAAGAAGAAGAGATAGTTATTCGTCATTTTAAAACAGGTTTTAAGATTTTCACTTAAGAAATTTATTTCGTAAACGAACAATATGTTAATTAAATTACTCATTAAAATGATGGTATGTAGCACTTTGATGTTTTTCTTATCGTTAACGATTTGTTATGAAGGAAGTAAAATAAATGAAATAATAGGTAAGAAATACTTTTATATAGATTTATTTCATATAGTTAACTTAATTATTATCAAATATGTTATGTATTGTAAAAGTTTTGTCAGCAATAGGCCAAGGAATCAAGGAAATATTACAGATCAATAATTGCACAATTAAATTTCTATTCGAATTTACTACACAATATGTCGTATTTATCAAATATATGACATGTTGTGTAGTAAAGTTTGAATCATCAGAATCAAATAAAAATATTGTTTCAGCAAAAATTACATTCTTTAATTTTAGCCCGCTAATAAATAGTATGAAATAAACAAAAAGGAAAATTTTCATTATAAAATTATAAGGAATAGATTTCATAATCACAAAAAGTACGAAAACAAATACAAAAGTTGTTCAGATAATAGCATAAGAGGTCCAAATAAAAGTATCCTCCATTGGAATTTCGGTAAATATATCATAGTCATTATTTCCAAATTGTCTACTACTACCGTTACGTCTACGACTACCATTTCGTCTACGACCACCACGTCGTCGACTGCCACGTCTACCACCTCTAGGATCAGTAAGCGGTAAATATATATCACCATAACCATAACCAAGAATAAATGTTAAATATCCTCCTTCACCAATGCGATGTGGTGGTGTTGGTGGTGGCGTTGGTGGTGGTGGTGGTGATGGTGGTGGTGGTGGTGTACGACCAACATCGACATTATAATAAGGATATGGTGGTGGAAATTGTCCGGGACCGCTACCACCATATGGTGGTCTATAATAATAATAAGGTGATGGTACCGCATAAGGTGGTCCATAATAATAAGGTGGTGGTCCACCATATGGTGGTCGAAAATGAGGCGGAAAATATTTTGAGTAATCAATGGTAGTAGGAGCAGTGCTTGTTGTTGTTGTTGTTGTTGTTGTTGTTGTTTGGCTTGTGATACTTCGTGCTGGATAAACAAATGGATAATAGGCTTGATTAGCATTATTATTCATTGACTGAAACAAAAAATGAATATAAACATTTTTTTTGAAAAGAAATCACTTTTATATTTAATAAGATAATTTTCCTTTCATCTACTACTTTGTTTTAATTTGATTTTGAAACTGATAATATCATCCAATTGATAACAATAAATTTTAATTAATTACATCAAAATATTGAAATGTAAATTTATCAAATTGTATTTCGTATTGCTTTAATACATTAAAAACTCGATGAAATTATTATTGAGAATTAAAATTAAAATTTAAACTAACATTATGTCCAACTATATTATTATTAAATGAATTGATTGCTACGCTATTCGCTGATACGATCAATGATGGCAAACTAAAAATATATTAATTTAGAAAATTTTCTTTTCTTTAAATTACGGTAGCAAATATATATACTCATTTAATTTTTAGTAATAAATATTAAGTTGTAATCATTTTTTAGTATTAAATATTAAGTTCCACACATATATTAAGTTTTTAGTATTAAGTATTTAATATATTAAATATAGTTTTTATATTAAATATTAAATATAGTTTTTAGTATTAAATATGCATATTAAATATTAGGCTTTAAAATACGATAAAAAATATACTATTTATTATTTTGGTATTAAATATTAATATTATGTTAAGCTTTAAAATACGATTACAAATATACTATTTATTTTTTTGGTACTAAATATTAGGTTAATATATTCTCCTGAAATTTCAAAATAGGAATA